AACTTCGTCAAAAATTATCGAACAAAACGGCAATGAGCGTTCTTCATCAATTTTTTCGATCGGACCAGTCAAACTAACAGAGCATCGGAACTATTTACTGCAGTGTAATTCAATCGATTGAGTAAAGCTAGCAAGGGACTATACTCAGTTTTCAAAGATTTTTCTCATAGCAAAAGTGAATATAAAAGCTCTAGATACTTGCATGAAACACTCCTTGAATTGTCCGCTTTCGCAACGAGAAAACATGCGACAGTAAACATAATTCAATGCGCGTATTTAAATCGAGCATTCCGGACAACCCACCATGTAGGCGATTAAAAGTGTCATTTGTTTCTTGTAAAAGCAAAGATCATAGATCACAGATGTATCGTATCGACAAGTAAAATTTCTTTAAATATTTCTCGAACAATTTTATATTGGTTTCGAGTAGACTTTGATGACTTACATCGATTGTATATTAGTTTTGAATTTGTTAATTCAAATTAATCCAGATGACAAAATCAAATAACATTACTTCGATCGTTCTGATAAATAAATACTATTCATCGAGACTCAATTTACGTGTCCATAGACTGACTGGATAGAGACATGCAGACAGATGCATCAAGGAAAAAACGTGCATTAAGTAAACTACTAGATAAATACAAGATGTGACTTGACATGATCACAGCAATTCGTTTCCAAAAAAATAAATCTTTTTTTTAATATAAAATTTGATTTTGATGTTTATAAAGAAAAACCGATGATAGGCATGAATTTAGGTTTAACGAGAAGACTGATATCTATATGGATTCTACACACAGATACCTCTACCAACACCACATATTCATATTCATTCACATAAAAAAGCGTATTTTTTTGTCGTTAATTTTGTTCTTCAATATTTTTCATACACTATTATTGCTGGTTGATGTACTTATGTCTCTCACTTTTCTTCCGTGCAATAAAATGTCTTCCTCTCACTGATCAAGAATCTCAAAATATACTTTTTTCTTTTCATCAAATTAATACCATTCGAAAGTGTTATTATTTATTTGATTTATTAACCCTCTAACGGTGAAGACCATAAATTTACGGTTTCAAAATTTAGAGAAAAATATCCTTAATCATACTGAAACTGGGCTTTTTCGTATGTTTTGCGATTAAATATGTGTGACCAGTGACGACTTGATACACTAGCGCTTTATACAGATTACTGGACTCTAAGCCAACTAGACTTACTCCTAGACACTTTCCTTCTCTTCTACCTCAAACAACAGACAAAAAAGTCCTCAGAAAGTTTGTCTTGTATGTGCTCATATATATAGAAGACAAAAAGAGAATAGATTCACATTACCTGTGCAAAGATTACAAGACTGACCCTAATGCGGGTTGTTGAGATCGTGAAAACCCCAAAAATTTAAGAAAATTTTTTTTGTTTTTTTGCTTAACCGAAATCTCATGAAAAAATAGTTATTCCATCATACTGTATGACAATGCCTTTTTTCATCACTGTCTTTAATCGAAAAATGAAGTATAAACTTCCTTAAACATATGTTATTTCTTGATTTATTTATTTAAATTACTTATATTTCAATGAATACATTCGTAATGTTTACGATGATGAGCTATAGACTGTCATTTTTTCGTTTAGAAACACACGCCCTCCTAGAAGAAAATTTAGTTAGCATATTCCCTAGACTGAAAGGCTAGGGTCTAGAAACCTAAATTCACCTGTGTCTGTGTGTCTGTCCGTCTGTCTGTCGGTAACGCGGTCAAAATGGCCATTATTTTGGCACATGTGACCATTTTTTTGGCACAAGCGACCATTTTCTTGGCACAAACAGCCATTTTTTTACTAAAATTAACTAGGTAACTATGGTACAAATGAGCATGTAACTATGGCACAAACGGTCATTTTTTTGGTACAAACGACCACGTAACTATGGCACAGGTGACCATATAGCAACCATGGTACAAACAACTATTCCGGTAACTATGGCACAGATGACCATATAGGAACCATGGTACAAACAACTATTCTGGTAACTATGGCACAGGTGACCATATAGCAACCATGGTACAAACAACTATTCCGGTAACTATGGCACAGATGACCATATAGCAACCATGATACAAACAACTATTCCGGTAACTATGGCACAGGTGACCATATAGCAACCATGGTACAAACAACTATTCCGGTAACTATGG